TGGGTGCTAGTTTTCAAAAATAATCTGGACAACAATTTGACTGGAATCATTTATAAGGTTCCTTCCTTGAGCAGAGGATTGGACCTCTGAGGTCACTTCCAGCCCTATGATTCTATATTATGAGTTCCAAATTGCCTTTCTTTGCAGTTTTGAAACAGAAAGCAAGAATGGTGATGGCCAGTACATTTACAGACTGAGGATATGTCGGGAAGTCTTCAACAATATGACCAATTCTGGTCTGGTGCAGATCAGCAAGATAGACAACAAACAAAAAGTAATAGGACGAATCAATGAGACCCATCTTGCAAACGGAAGTAAGACATAATTTTGAACAGATCTATTGCGCATTCTTATAATTATATTCATGCCTCATTGAATCTCTTATATTTCTGATTTGGCAGCTAGCTGGATTTTGCTGATCTATCAGGGTGGCGATCCCTATGGTAGCCATTGTACACAGGAAGACAGGAAAGCTTTAGTAATGATTATCTGCAACCGAACAACATTAGCAGTGAGTATAAGAGTGGGGCAGCAAAAATGAATTATGTTAAAGAAAACTAGCACATAACTCAGCCCTTACCATACTATTTGCATTATTGGTTCCATGCTACATAATATCAGAGCTTTGATTAGTAAGCAAAGGGTATGCATTTCACATAAAAATTACATATCAAAATGTTTGCATGTATTGTAAGATATGTGGTAATACTGAGAGCATTGAGTAAGAAAAAGGCACATCATGGAGACTATATTCAAATAATTTAGTAATGCCTTAGCCTAGGGCAGGACTGTCAAACTCAATTTCATTGAGGGCCACATCAGGGCTGTGGTTGACCTCGGGGGGGCCAGGTGGACATGGCTGACTGGGTAGGTGTGGCCAACTGGGTGGCCATGGCCAGCTTGACATTGCTCACTGGGTGTGGCACGAGGCCAGGCATTGAATTGAGAGGCCCAGAGAAGAGATGTGCTTGCGCAGGCCAGGTGAACAAGCTTGGAGGGGCTAGGCCAACAAGCTACAGCTGGCCAGTCTTACTACCTGTTGTCAGGCAGACTGGCCAGCTGTTGCCAGACACAGTGGCCAGCTGCCTAGCCCCACCCAGCCTGTTCGCCTGGCCGATGCAAGCACAGTCTCCAGTTCTTCGCTGGGCCTCTCAGCTCAGTGGCCAGGCTCACACGCTGTTTCCTCTTCACATTGGGTAGATTGGGCCGGTGCAATGCTGGCCCTCTGTTTCTGCCAGGATTGGGTAGATTGGGCTGAAGTGACGCAGGCCTGCCCCTTACATTTTCCAGGATGGCCCATGGGCCAGATCTGACCACATCATGGGCCAGATCTGACCTGGGGGCCTTGTGTTTGACACCCCTGGCCTAAGGAAATGGAACCTCCAGCCCTCTAGATAGTGCTGAACTACACCTCTTAGTAGTTTCAGTCAGCATGCTATGTATATGAATCAGGCCACAATAGGATTGTGAGAATTGTGGGGCACTCTGTTGCTGAATATCTCAAGAAGACGGGGGCAGCTGAACTTTGATTAGTGTGCCATTATACTCCTACCATCTCTAAACAGACTGGCTTCACCATGGTGGCAGAAGAGAGGGAGAAGATAAAGCAATGTTCCTATGTTTTTGAGTTAGAGAGCAGCTTGGCTTGTCCTCTGGAAGAATTGCATCACAATGTACACCGTCACCTTAGTATTGGCTCTATACTGCTAATCACGTAAGTTGATTTGAAATAATTAATAGTTCTTTTCTGAGTTAAATAGCTTCCAAAAACTTATCATAATAATTTTAAGGGTGAAAAAGCATTCCAAATCAAATCATTTTAAAATAGCAACTTTGTATCATAAATTAAATAGAGATTTTAGTAATACCTGATTACTAAAGGCACATGTGAGATTTACATAAATGATCCTGGTTCATTAGGTTATTCCCATTCAAGAAACACTTGTAATTTAACTGAAATTAAAGCGCTTTGTGGACCATGGGCCAGATGTTCTGCAGGGTTCGAATACAATCAATGATGACAGTTGAGGGGTGTGTTGAGGGAGTTCTGGCATAGGGAAAAAGTCCAGGCCAGTGGCCATTTGGAATGGTGTGAATCCAGTACTGCTGTGTACTGAATTATCGTAGGCAACCTAAGCAAAGGGTGAGAGTTCAGCCCAGATATTTTGCTGATAGTTCACATAACAGTGGAGGTATCGCTTATCACTGGCAACATGCCATTTTTCCATTCATTCCCCTTCTTAATCCACACTTGGTAATACACCTCCCTTAAGTCCAGTTTAGTCCAAATTTCTCCTTGGCCAAGTGGCCCAGCAGAATGGGGAACACATTTTCAGCAGAATGGGGTACACATTTTCCACACAGATGGCATTAAGCCCACTGTAGTCAATGCACAGTCTAAGAGAACCATCTATTTTCTCTTGGAAAAACACAGGGGCAGCCATGCGGGACTTGGTTGACTGAATGAAGCCCCTGGTTAAATTCTTGTCGATGAATGACTGGAATTCTTCCATTTCCCAGGGCATCATCAAATTTAGGCTTTGGCATCTTAGCTCCCAGGACAATCTTGACTGCACAGTCTGGGGTGATGGGGTAGTAGACTCCCTTTTACTGAACACTTTGGCCAAGTCCCAGTATTCTTTAGGAATTGATGGGTCTGGCTCCTCTCCCACCCAAGCTTTCCCTGCAACTTCTGCTTTTCTCATTTGTGGCTTGTGGTAGCTCCTTGTCACTTTCACCTCTGCTTCCAGGCTGGAAAGTTTTTCTGCACTTTCAACTGGTTCCATTTCCAATCTAGAGGGATTCCACTTCTTGATCTATGCAAGTTCTAGGATTATGGCCTTGATCATCCCTGGGGCCACAATTTACTGGATAGTCTCTGCATGGGTATCTCTAGAACTGCCATGCGTATATACATTTGTATTTTATTTTATAATGTTATATACTGTATTTTTCAGAGCACAAGACGCATTTTTTCCACCCCCAAAAGTGGGTGGAAATATCTCTGCATCTTATACAGCAAATGTTGCTGAAGCTCCGCTCACCCACCGACCCCCACCCTTTGGCCTCTGCCTCCCAGCAATTTGCCTCCTTACAGCAAACAGCCTGCTGCAGCACAGCCTGATTAGCACAAGCAACTGATTGTTGGTTGGATCACCCACCCGATGATCAACTGTTTCAGGTTGCAGGGATTGCCATAGCCTATTGCCGCCTCCACACACCCCATTTTCGGCCTCCGGGTGCCCTGTTTTCAGCCTCCCGTGCCCCATTTTCTGCCCATTTTGATCCCCACCACCCAGAATGGGGTGATAAGGGGCATGTGGCGGCTGAAAATGGGATGCAGAGACTGAAAATTGGGGGGTGCGGAGATGGCAATAGGCTATAACAATCTCTGCAGCCTGAAACAGCTGTTTGTTGGGAGGCCAAGCCAACTGACAATCAGCTGCTTGTGCTAATCAGGCTGTGCTGAAGCTGAAACAGGCTGTTTGATGCAAGGAGGCAAATTGCTGGGAGGCAGAGGCAGATTTTTTTCTTGTTTTCCTCCCCAAAAGCTAGGTGTGTCTTATACTTCAGAGTGTCTTATACTCCGAAAAATACAGTATTTTGTATGTGAATCTTTTGTTAGTATTTGTTTTCTCTTTCAGATTTTCCTCACTAATTGCAGTATACATCATTGGAGGATTCCTCTACCAGCGTCTGATAGTAGGAGCAAAGGGCATGGAACAGTTTCCCCATTTTGCTTTCTGGCAAGATCTTGGTAATCTAGTAGCTGTAAGTAGCTGTTATATGGATAGAGTGTCTGGAATTTCCACCAGTAAGAGATACACTTGAAAAGTATGACCTGGTGTGATTATACAGGTAGTCCTCAACTTATGATAATTGAGCCCAAGGTTTCTGTTAAGTGAGACATTTAAGTGAATTTTGCCCCAGTTTACGACCTTCCTTGCCACAGTTGTTAAGTGAATCACTGCAGTTGATAAGTCAGTATCCCAGTTGCTGAGTGAATGTAGCTTCCCCATTGATTTGCTTGTCAGAAGGTTGCAAAAGATGACCCCATGATCTTGGGAAAAAGCAACAGTTATAAATATGAATATTCTAATTATTTATTAGATTGAAACCCAGTTGACTTAAGAAAAAAGAATCAGGATAGAAGGGTGTGTTATATTAATTCACACTCAGTATTTGAAGAATCTTGATTACGGATACATTTTATTGTACACTTTGATTCATTCAAATAAGTAAATATTAGCTTATTAAAAGAATAAGGTGAATGAAGAAAGGGCTCTTCTCTAGATGAGAGCAGGCATGGGAGGTGCTTCTGTCTCTCATCTGATAGGCTAAGCTGATTTCTGAGGACACTCCTGAGGCTCCTCCTTAGTGTCCCCAGTTTTTGCTCAGCCTTCATTCGAGAAGGGCATATTTCTCTTGGCTGGATTGTCTTAAAGCGAGTAGCAATAATAAAAAAGGTCTGATCGCAGCTTCTGGCTGCAAATAGAAGGTTGTGACTTTCAAAAGATTATATATAGCTACTGACGCCGTTTTTAACACCACGTGGCCATCAGAGCTTTTAAGCCTACAGCGAGGGCCCCAACGGCGCTCTGAGTGCTCAAGCCAGCACCTGATCATTTTTCCTCAGGCCACCATTATAGCCTCAAGGAAGCAGCTGAAGCAATTAAAATAATCTGGCTGGCAGAGCTTCTAAAAGCTCCAAATCAGGCTTCAGGCGCTCCCCGAGCTTGCGCCTCAAAAACAACAGCTTTATTCATTCAAACTGACCGAAAGGCAGAGAGATTGGAATCTTCCCTTACTTCTCGGCTGTTTTTTTGAACAGGCTGCCGTGCCTTTGTAAAGGGTGTTGTGGCACGATGAGCGCAGGCTCATGTTTGCACCAAGATATTAAAATATCAGACGCCCTGGGCTGATTCCCCTCAAAGTGTACCTAAACTTCATGGGGGTTGGCATTAGCGCTTTTACCTCTACCCGGCACTGTTAAAAGATTTCCATTGATTTAATTCTTTAAGTTACTGAGCTCTTGTTGGGGGTGCTGACTGAACTATTGCGCACCAAAAATAATGGCTGGTGCCATTTTGTTTGTATCTACAAACTGCAAATTATATTTAGCAGATTTGAGTCCTTTTTTAAAAAAGCATCAGTGCCTTGCCTATTTAATTAGACTGTTAATCCCTAACAGGGCTGTTCCAGCACAGCTTTACAGGGCCTTCAGCAACAACTCACAAACCTTAAAGATTCACTGAAGGAGTTCAGTTGGCAAATCCCTCACATCCAGCTCCAGTCAGCAGAACAGCAGCTAGCACCCAGGCCTGTGACCGCCTGTGCATTAAAGCTGTTGCCAACCCAGTATTAATTAGGCTGTTGGATCCTACTCTGGGCAGTTAAGGTGTATCTTTATTTGACATTAATTCAAATTATTGGATATTAATTAATTAATAAAAAGGGGATTAAATCATTTACATTTGAGGGAGTCCCTGCCCGTTCTGGAGCAGGCCCCTAGGCGAGCCAACCACCCTTAATTTAAGCCTCACATTTCTACAGCTCCTGTATCCAGGGGTTGCAGTAGAAAGTGGAAGTTCTATTGACTCCATCGTTTCAGGCTCTAGAGCGGCAGCCAGAAAGGCCATGGCCAAAACCAAGAGCAAATCATCGGGCTCAAAAAAGCCTTCAAAGGCTGCTGAGAAAGACGCTAAGAGGCGTCAAAAGGCACTAGACAAAAAAAGTGCCTTTGTGAGGCTGAAAAAATAAGCAAACATTGTCTCCTCCAAAAATCGCTCCTGTTCCAAGCTCCATCCCAGCTCCTCCTCTGGATCTGTCAATGCAATCCAGGTGTAGCAACATCTTGCCAGACCAAGCAAGCACTTCAACTGTAATACCTGCACCACGTAGGGCTCCTGAGGCTACATTCACCCACATGGCCACTGGTCTTCGAGCAGAGGAATCTCTTTCCCAAGAAATTCCTCCTCATATGAGACTTTGGATGGAGCAAACTATCAAACAAGGCATCGCAGGACGAGTACAGCAGACTTTCATGGCAAGACAACAGCAAACAGGTCCTGAGCATTACCTTCAATCTCCAAGGTCGCCAAGCAGAGCAGATCAACTCAACTTCAGGTACCTTCCCAGGGGGCAAATTTCCCAACACCTCATATTCCTGACCAGGGTACACAATGTAGGGAAGACCAAATAGATGAGCTGGAACAAATTATGTCAGTATCCTCTCGACAATGATTCATCATCACTGAGGCAGAGCAGCTAGAGAAGGACATGTCAGATGATGAGGGCTTAGCTCCAGATCAACCTATTTTCACGGGACTATTCTGCCCACATCTATTTAAGTCTTTACTGTTCAAAGCTAAAAACACCGCATGCCTTGACAATCCAAATTCTACCTCCCAACCGCCTTCAGCGCAGGAGGAGTCAGATGACTTAATATTTTCACAACCTTCACCGAAGCGGAGGTCATTCCAGTCCCACAAATGTTCACTGAATTAGTTCAGAAACTGGTCCTCTACTGCTGCGTATCCCAATCCAACTAGCCTACTAGCCCCCATCGTAATGAACCTGTAATAACTCTAGCCTCTCCTTCCGCTATAGCAATAGCACTTAGACTTATATACCACTTTATAGTGTTTTACAGCCCTCTCAAAGTGGTTTACAGAGTTAGCATATTGTCCCCAACAATTTGGGTTCTCATTTTACCCAGGTCGGAAGGATGGAATGCTGAGTCAACCTTGAGCCTGGTGGGATTCAATCTGCCAAATTGCAATGGTAGTAGCTTGCAGTACTGCACTCTAACCACTGTGCCATCGAACCTATACCTAGTGAAGCGGAAGAAGCTCTCAAACCAGAGGATAAGAGAGCAGAATTAGCTCTTCACAGGGCTCATTTAGCAGATGCATGGGCTATCAGGATGGCTATAGCCACTTCATTCTTTACCAGATCTTTCCTAAGGTGGTTCCATCACCTGAGAGATTCCATTCCTTCATCAAATACCAGGGCACATCAGGACATAGCGAAAGTGATGGCAGCTCCAGAATTCTCTGCAGATGCAACCTTTAATTCGGACAAAATTCTCATCAAGAGCCATAGCATCCCAAGTCACTGCATGAAGCCTACTCTGCCTCTGATATTGGCAGGCGGACACCAAACATACGTGGAAGCTGGCATCCGCTCCCTTTGAAGTGGACAAACTGTTTGGATCTGCCCTGGAGCCACTCCTGGTGGAATCTCGAAATAAAAAAAAATCCTCCCCTCCCTTTTTCACAAGCCTGACAGTAGACCTTCCCAATCCTTTTGGAGGGGTTCCTTTCGTCCCTTCTATCAAGGATCCTATTCCCAAAGATCATAAAGGCCCTTTGGGTATAGACAAGGACAGCAGACAGAAAGATCTGTCTTTGGGGACAGAAATGGGGGCGGGGGGCAGAACAAAAGGTCCTTTCATGGGGCAGGAAACAAGTCCTTTTGTCGCCCAAAGTAAAATAATTCCGAACTCTTCCATAGGTCAATGGGAATCCACTACATCAGATGCCTGGGTCAGAGAGACCATAAGATCAGGTCTCTCTCTTGAATTCCTCTCCACACCCTCGAATTTTTTTATGATGTGCCCTGTTTCAAGGATCCTACCAAAAGGACTCTTATGGAAACAGCAATTCAACATTTGCTGGAGATCCACGCAATCCAACCCATGTTGCCAGATCAACAAGAGCAAGGATTTCATTCACATCTATTTGTGGTCCCTAAAAGTTTGTGGGGTTGGAGACCAATTCTGGACTTAAAAGGCCTGAATGACTTCCTGGAGATTTAAGATGAGCTCCTTGTAATCAATCCTTTGCAGTATCAGGGAAGGAGATGTCTTAACGTCAATAGACTTAACAGAGGCGTATTTATATATTCCTATCAGACCCATGCATAGCAGATTCCTGAGATTCTGTTATAATAAAAAAACACTTCAAGTATATAGCTCTTCCATTTGGCCTGGCCTCAGCCCCCCGGATCTTTACAAAGGTTCTGGCGGTGTTAGCAGGCCATCTTAGGAGTAAGCCAGTTGGCTCCAATGCTATCTCAATGACACATTAATTTTGTCATCATCCAGCCAGCAGGCTGAACTCAGGTCACCCTACAGGTTCTCTAACAGCATGGATTTTCAATAAATTGGGCCAAGAGTCACTTGACACCATCGGCTTGCCTCCTGCACTTGGGAGCCATAATTGATACAATGGCTGGGAAGATATCCCTATCACCGGGCAGGCAGAGTAGCATTAGACAGTTGTCAAAAGAGGTTAGAACTCTCAAATGAGTACCCCTGGCCTAATTATCCAAACTATTAGGAAAAATGATCTCATGCATTTGTATTGTTCCCTGGGCCCGGCTCCACGCCAGAACCCTTCAGTGGTTTTCGGCTCCCTTATCAACAGTCAGGAAAGAGCAATGCCAGGTCCAAGGTCACCATTCCATCAGAGGTCCTCATATCGCTTCACTGGTAGACCACAACAAACATCAACAAGGGCTATTTTTTCAAGGACGCTCACAGACAGACTATTACAACAGATGCAAGTCTGTTTGGATGGGGTGTCAGTCCCTTACAGCTCAGGGTCACTGGTCCACGACGGAATAGGCCTCCAGCATAAACTGGCTGGAATTGAGCAGTCCATCTGGCCCTCTGCAAATTTCTACCACTGACCAGGGATAACATGTCCTCATCCTGACTGACAACGTGGGCACAAAAGCCCACATAAACAGATGGGGGCACGCATTCA